AGTTTTTTCTTTCCCTTCTTCCCTTTCCCCTTTCCCTTCCACCATCCCCAAACCCTTGGACCTTTTCTTATTTCAAATTATCAATTATTCATTTTAATCATTTTCCTAGAATAACTTTTAAGGCAGGCATCTTGTTTTTTCTCCTCTGTTGTAAGATTTTTTATTTTGCAGTGCATGTTTGTGGTACATGATTACATTCATTTTGAGGAGTTGGTACCATGTACATGACACATTTTGGTTCTTTTTTTCATCTCTTTCCTCCATACTCCCTCCATCTCTTGGTCCCCTTGCCTTTTGGAAAAAATCTATCTCCCTGTTTCCTATTAAGTGTAGTTTTGGGGCTGTTATTTATAGTTGTTGATGGCCCCCCCTTCTATCATACAGTCAATTGAAATGGCTGCCTTTTCTCCCCTTCTAGTATAAAGGAAGTGAGTTAATAATTGAAACTGTAATGTAGGACTTCTCTGAATTAACTCAAGCTTGTGGTACCCTTATGAGATACATATATATATATATATATATATATATATATATGTACACACACACACACTCATAATGTGGATTTCTGTCACTATTCTGATGCAAAGCCTAATTAAGAGAAACTGATATCTTTCCTATTTGCATCTTTGTACTTTGTCATTTTAGTCACCTACAACCACTTTTGAAAAACACGGAGACCACCTACCCCGAGGAGAAGGTAGATTTGGAGTAAGCCGTCGTCGACACAATTCCTCTGATGGCTTTTTTAACAATGGACCTTTACGAACTACAGGAGGTGAGCTGTGTCCAACTTTAATATTTTAGCTACTACTCAAGAGCAAGCCCACACTGGGATGCATGCCTGTAATATAAAAATAGGATCTTTTTGTGAACATACTTCTCAATTAGAAACTCTAGTAGTGATTACTCCAACTACATTGGTTTGGTTACTATGAATCATATTGTCAGTTGAAGGACTCATTTAGAAGTTACTTCACAAAAGAAAGTTTTATTTAGTGGTTTTTTTGTGTGAACTTCTTATTGAAAAGGTCCCCTGAAGGCCTTTTGGTAGCACCGTAAACTAAATCAGGAAGCATCTGGCCCAATTATTTTTGACTTCCCAGGAAGCAAACAAGCTAATGTGTTATTTTTCCTTATGATTCTAGATTCCTGGCATCAACCCTCCCTGTTCCGCCATGATTCTGTGGACTCTGGTGTCTGTAAGGGAACATATGCTGGAATCACAGGGAATTTATCTGGTTGGCACAGTTCTCGGGGTCATGATGGCATGAGCCAGCGTAGCGGAGGTGGCACGGGAACCATCGACACTGGAATGGCAGCTTCCACTCCCGGAAAGGCTGTGCCTTTCAGGAAAAGCCACCTACAGAGGTTCGGGAAGAAAAAAAAGAAGACAAGGTAGAAAAATTGCAGTTTGAAGAGGAAGACTTTGTAAGTATTAAGCTTTAGATGTGTAGCTAAAACCCAACAAAGTTTTAAATACAAGACCTGTTTATAATAATCCAGAAAAGGGAGTCTGTACATTTAGATTTTTATTTTAGAGTAAAGAAGTTGATTAAAGACAGTGACCAGAGTTCCTGTGTAACTTAGCAAATCTAAATATATTTTTCATTGTTATGCCTTTGGAATTTGAAAAAAAGTCTAATTTTCCTTAAGTTTTATAAGGTTCAGTATCTAAATATAATTATATAAAAATGTAATTTTGAATTGTGTTTTCTATCTTAGATTTTTTCTTAATTTGCTTTCTAGTCTATAAAATAATTGATAAATTATAAACACGCAATTTTGAATATTTTAACTGTTGCTCTATATTCATTAAAACTTGATGCTATTATGTGTTGAATTACATTACTTTGGCCTCTAAATCAAAAGTAGAGGTTTTAGAGTACCTTTTAAAATTTTTAATAATTTAATCAGATACACTTGAAATACTATCATTTTAACATGTGATCAGTAACCAAATTACTGAGTTAATTTACATAATTTTGGTACTAGGTTTTCACTGTATTATGTGTTTATGGCACATCTCAATACTGTATAGACTGTACACATTCTGAGTACTTCACTACCTGTGACTAGAGCTACCATAACAGTGCAACTCTAGTTATTTTTAAGTAACATATTAACCAGTCACTTCTTTTGTAGCCACCTCAACAACGTATTAATAATAAAAGTCAACTGAAGATGACTCAAATTTAGACATTATTCCTTCTTCCCCATGTCTAGAAAGTTTCTTAGGTTCCTCGATTCAGATGACATATATTAATATGAATTCCTGACCGATACTCTTTTTTTTTTTTTCCTGGAAGCTTTGTGTTTTACAAATATTCTTGTCAGAAATAAATTCAGTTTAAACTGAGTTCTATCATGAGTCCTTTAGCAAACCTAGTGGAAAATTGATTGACAGCAAGAAAAATGTTTTGGTGGCACTGTCTTTACCTACTAAGTGATTTAAAGGGAGATTGGCTGTCAAAGCAAACCTGAGATAAAACCAGTTAGGGCAAATTATTTCACATCTGTATTTCTTTTCTTTTTTCACATTTGTATGTCTATGAAATATTCTAAGTACTGTATACAGAAAAGTATGGAGAAGGAGCCGGGAATTTAGCTCAGTGGTGCCCCACCTGCCTTGCAAGTGCAAGGTCCTGAGTTCAGTCTCCCATACCAAAGGAAAAAAAAAAGTATGGAGAAAATTACTTTGTCAAATACTGACATCTTGCCAAATGCACGGTAGACCCTTCTTTTAGAAAAGACATTACAGATTATAGTTAAGACTTCTTCAATCCTATTTTCTTCCTTCTCCCTACTCACCATCTTGGTTTCATCATTTTAACATCCTCTGGCATGTTTTGGAAAAATTTACCACATGTGTGTGTGCCATAAACTTCATGTTTTTAAACTTTATATGAATAATAGGCTGTACTGTGATTCTTTATCTGTGTGAAGTTGTTTGAGGTTTATGTGTGGTGATACATAGGGTTTAAATTAATAGTTCTCAACCAAGGCCAAGTTTGTCCCCAGGGAACATTTGGCAATATCTGGTGGTGACATTTTGGTAATCACAATAGGAGATAGTAAGTACTACTGACATCTAGTATGAAGATACTGGAGATGTTGCTAAATACCTACAATGTACTGGACAGCACACAACAATGATTTAACCAGCCCAAAATGTCAGTAGCACCAAGCTTGAGAAACCTTGCTCTAGATCTTTTTCACTACGGGCCAGGGATTTAGCTCAGCGGTTCTGCCACCTGCCTCGCAAGCGCGAGGACCCGAGTTCGATCCCCGGTACCAAAAAAAAGATCTTTTTCACTACTGTGTAGTAAATACTCTATTATGTGAATATACTGGATTTACTTAGCCATTTTCTTGTTGGTGGACATTTAGGTTGTAAAATACCTTATGTTAGAGGTTAAATCTAAAGGATTAGAATAGAGGTACTATAATTGGAGAAGGAAAAATCAAAAATAGAATTTCTATCCCAAGCAGGTTGATTATTAATATATATTTAACTTGAAAGGAAAACAGAAGCAGCAGAATTGGCTGGAGAAGGTAACAAATTATTGATGCCAAAGACGTAAATGAGAGATATGGCCTTGGAATAGAGATAATAGTTGAGGTTTATGGATGGGTAGAATTACCCGAGGAGAGTAATGTATTATTAGTAAAAGGGGAGCAGGCCTGGAGCAGAACCTGCAAAACAGTGGTAAGGAGGACTACTCATTAGCTGAAGAAGAAAAAAATATACTAAGAAAAAGTTGTTATAGGGCTGGGGATTTAGCTCAGTGGTTTCGCCACCTGCTGCGGAAGCACGAAGACCCAAGTTCAATCCCCTGTACCAAAAAAAAAAAAAAGTAGTTATATAAACATTATAAAGGGGTTTGGATCCTAGTTATTTATAGTAGATTTTTTACATTATAGTAATCAAAAAGTTATCTTCGTTTTAAAATAGTATTGATTTAGTGTGACTAGTGCTATGTTTTTACCTTGGACAAGTTAGTCTAATTTTCCCTGAGTTTTTAGATAAATATCATAGTACATCCCTTGCAACATTGTAGTAAATGAACCCACGCATAAAAGCACATTCCTCTAATTCCAGCACTCAGGATTACCATGAGTTTGAGGCCAGCCTGAACTACATAGCAGACTGTCTCAAAAAAATTTTTTTTGTAGTAAGAATGGCGTATGTTAAATAATGAATATGAAACACTTAGCACAGATCTTGACACACATATTTTTAAGTGGTGGCTGTTACTGTTATTAAATGTGTTGAGACTTTGTTAGAAAAGACTAATGGCAGAATAATCACTCAGATGCTAGAAATCTGCCCTTTAGAGTGCCTGACGAAACTATTCATAAAAAATGTTACTCTGCTACAAAACCACTCCATAGGTGCTAAGAAAAGTTGCTGGCCTCAGATCTTGCTTGCCCTTCAGAGCCTGGCTTTGAGGAACTGGGTGCTACAGGAGTCTGCTGAGTAAGCACTCTGGAAAAGGAAGCAGAACTTTTTCCACTGCATTCCACCTATAAAAGCGATTTCAGCTGTCAAAAAAATTTAAAGTACCAGATACAGTTACATAAAATAGGCAGAAGGAATGACTTCAGAACTCCAAGCAGTAAATTGCTAGAACCAGCCCAGGGTCAGTCCTCAGGTTATTGCTAACCAATTAGTAGTATTCTCTTCCGGAACCACAGCCCCTCACTGTTGGAAATATAGTCCACACTGATGTGAGGGACTGCCCCATTGATTGTGCCCCAAATAGGCTGTAAGCAGTACAGGCTGTAAAGAGTTAACCTCATGGTTTGCTTGTTTTTAAAAGTGAATCTGACCAAAACATATGAGATAACACACAGCCGACCAAGGTCAGAGTGACTCTTAGCCAAATTCCATTCCCAGCCTGACACAAGAATGCTTTGTCTCTTCTACAAGCCTTGCCGTGTCAGCAGCATATCCCTAGCAACCACACGTAGCCCCCTCACCCCAACCTAACAAAAGTTGTATCACCAATAAATATCCATGGTTCTGGCTCTTCAGACCCTTTGCAGTTTGCTCAGCACTGGCCATCCTGGCTCCCCATTTCTCTCTTTAATTCTTTCAGTTTTTCTTCTCACCTTGTACTGTAGCACCGAGCAGGAGATCAGAACCTGCTGCAGGGGTCTGATAAATTGAGCTTCTCAAAGACAGACACAGTAGAGGCAAAAAAAAAAAGGTGCTGGTGCAACCAGCAAAGGCACTTGTCAGTCCAAGCCACTGATTGATTTATTTATTTATTTGGTACTGGGGATTGAACTCAAGACCTTGTGCTTTCGAGGCAGGCACGGTGCCACTAAGCTAAATCCTTGGCCCTACTGATTTTTACTGGTGATCAATTGAGGTAAAGGCAAGCTACATGCTAAAGGGCAACTATGTTCAAGGACATACAGTGGTGCAGTTACTATGGATACTAATACAAGCAAGGCTTGTAAAGGATAAAACAAAACATTCTTGAATTAGGAACAAAATAGACAAAATACAGAGTTGTAATTAGAACCTTGTCCTTCTATTTAAAGAGGTTTTAATTGTGGGAACAATTTGAGTGTGAATTACTCTGACCAAGGCAAATAGGCTCCAGCTGGACTCACTTCTCAAAACAAGCCAATTGAGTTAACTCTACAGCCTGCACTCCTTACAGCCTGCTTTGGGCATAATCAATATTGCAGTTCCCTACAGAAAGGAAAGTTTAGATTTAAAAAAGGAAAAGGTGGGCCTGGAATTTAGGTTAGTGACACCATGGCTGCCTCGCATGCACAAGGTCCTGAGCTCTATCCCTGATACCAAAAATAAATGAATAAAATTTTTTTAAAAGGAAAGGGTTAGAACAACCATCACATTAAGAAAGTAAATCATTGTATTTTTGAACACAAAATAAAATAATGTGTTAGAAGAGTCACAACTAATCACATATAAATGAACAACATAAAAGGATTGAGGTCAAGCCAGGGATTTAGCTCAGTGGTTCTGGCGCCTGCCGCGCAAGTGCAAGGTCCTGAGTTCAATCCCCAGTATCAAAAAACAAAAACAAAAAAGGATTGAGGTCAAATCCCTTTGTAATTATAAGATAGGAGGCAAAAAAAGAGCAGAATAATAACCTAACAGACAGTGCAAAGTATATGCCATAAGACATGTACACTAAACATGAGTTATAACCTATAATCTTAAAACTTAACCAAATGCTGAATTCAGTCTCTGGTACAAAAAAAAACTTAACCAAATGATATTAAGAAAATGGTAAAGAGCAACATAGTCCAGCAAAACACAAAATAAGATGTTAGTACGCGAGAAAGAAGTAATGAAAGATTGTAGAAGCATGAAGGCTAAATGAGAATGAACACAAAAGAATGAACCGTAATATTTTTCAAGGATTAGAATACAGAAATGAGGAAAATTTTTTAATGAATAGAAGTGAAACCAATGATTATCTGTCATTTTTTCCCCTAGTTTTTGTTTGGGCCAGATGTACCCCACATCTGTAATCCCAGCACTTCAGAGGCTAAAGAGACAGGAGGATTGCTGCAAGTTAGACACCAAATTGGGGTTCATAGTGAGTTCAAGACTAGCCTGGACTTCATGGCCAGACCCTGTCTTTTTGTTGTTGTTGTTGTTCTTTTATTGGTACATTTTAGGTATACAATTCATTTACATTTATCATTGGGTGTTTGTACCTGTACATGATATATCTTGGTTCTTATTTTTTTCCCCATTACCTGTG